TTCACGTTTGTAAACTGGAGGTGAGAGAATGATGTTGAATTTGCAAACCATTAAAATAATGTGTCTAGAAGAACTGATTCTGTGCTTGGCACACACTTACCATTCATTCATGTTGTCTTCTTGCCCCTTTTATGGGCCTTCTGTCTCCCATCACAGGTATCCCTGAGATTGTTGGTAGGCCAGTGATGCTGTTGACTACTGAAGTTTTGTGTTTCATTTTTTCAGCCACTAAAGATGGCTTTCCACTTTGACTTTACAGGCACCTCTGTTGGAGAACTTGGACTGAGCTGTCTACCCACCTAACAGTCATATTATGAGAATTCAATGAGGGGAATATACTTAACATTGCTTTGTTAACATTTGTAGGTGTGTTTCTTTGTTTACTGTTTGCTTGCTTAAACATTGCAGAGATTTGGTGGTGGAAAGGGAACTTAGGCCTTGGATTGGTTTGAGGCATATCAGATTACTTAATAGACTTTATCTTAGATGCAAAAGATATTGAACTTTACAGGAACCAATGATCTCTGATCTAAAATGGAATCCATAGTTTCCTGCTCTTGGCTGCTGGTATGCCGCAGCTTGGATATTTTATTATTTATAATGCAGTGCTACTTTGCACCTGATTTTTAGATTCCATTAACAGCCATGATTGGATTTTTATTTATAAGAAAATAAATAAATAAATTTTTATTTATAAGAAAATTAAAGTTATCTGGCTCAGTGAAGTCATGAATTTCAATCTCTGTCATCATTTTTAATTTAATTGTTCTGTAACTAAACACAAACTTTGTCTGCAATTTTAGGGGAAAGAAGTCATTGTATAATTATTTGAGAATAATCATAAGTATGTAAATAGAGTTCAGAATTGAGTATAATGTGGCCACACCCTTGTATGAAATAATAGAGTCAAATGAAATGTCCTTTGTACTACAGGTAACTTCTCCAGCTTGAACCCAAAAAAGTAAACCCAGGTCTGGAACATTCAGTGAAGCAACTCTGAGTGTCCTTCACATGCAAAAGGGTTCTTTGAAAACTGTTTTACCATCAAAATGCATGCATATTTTGCATTTAACTTTAAATTTCTTCATTTTCTTTAAAACAAATCATTTTTCCCACAATTTTAAATAAAATTGATTGCCCCCACTATACCTGTTTGCCTCTGGGAATGACAGTGTGCCTGTCTAAGAAGCCATGATGTCCTCGGAGAATGGAAGATCAAAGATATAGGTCAGCACACATATATAGGTCAGCACACATGACCATGTGATGGAGACGTGTGTTTTGGGAAAACAGCTTCATCTTCATGTAGTGTTACTGTGAAAGGAAAGGTAGAATTCGAATAACACGGTAAAGAGCTAAGGGAGGGAGTCTAGTCAACTAAGCCATGCATCTTCATACTGTTAAAACATAAGTTCCCCTGCAAAGGTAAAAAGTCTTGATCTTATCTTTGTTCTATTTTTAAAATTTTATTTTATTGTTGAGAGTATTACAGATGTCTCCCATTTTCTCCCCTTTACTCCCCTCCCCTTATCTACCACCCCTCCAGGTCTTCACCTGTCTATTGTCTGTGTCCATGGGCTATGCATTTATGCTTATAAGTTCTTTGGTCAATCTTTGTTCTATTTTTTGCTGAGTTTCATTTAAATGATATGCAACAGTGATATGGATTCATACTCAATAATGTTTCAAAAAGTAGATTTAAAGAGAAAATAAAAATAGGAGTAGGAGAGATATATGTGAATTAACCCTCAGGCCCTTATTTCAACTTCAAGAGCCTTCTCAATAACCTAACAAATCTTTTGCACACCACCAAACAGGTCTGGTTTTGACTCTATTAAACCATTTGGCAAGTAGGCTTTGTTGTGGAAACATTTGTGTGCAAAACCAACAATGAAAGTGCCAGGGCAACATATGAGAGCAGGTTATTAGGACCCAGAGTCCAATGGTTCTAAAACAACCTTGCTCAGAGCAAATGAAATGTGCGGACCTGAGAAGATGAGCAATTCAGTAATGTGCCCCCAACATCTCAGGTTGTTCCAGGTTGAATCTATCTTGGCTGAGTCTTCATATCATTTTCACAGTCAATAAATGGTAGAGCATTTGTCTGCAAATGTAGCATATTTCTTAACCTCAAACATGCCTTTGGAGATCATCTTAAACAAGAAGTCAGGATACAATACCTTCCAGAGCCAGGTAAACAACTTTACTTCCTGGAAAATGTTTAACCACAGCTATGGTTGCCTCCACTTTCATACCATCATTCTGGTGCTGAGATGACTTTGTAAATAATGTTAGCAAAAAGCCACGAGTTTGTAGAATTTTATGAAGCTTTAAATGTGTCTCCCTCTGAGTTTAGTAGCGTCTGACATATACATTATCTTTTTGATGCAATAAAGATGAAGAACTTTTTTCTAAATACCCTCTGGGAAGTTAAATTCTGAGAAGGAACAAGCTAGATGTTTATATTTTAAAACTAGAATTAGAAACAATCAATTGTAATTGTTTCACTTAGGCAGATGCAGCACTGTAAAATGTTGTGGTCAGCCTGCCAAAGGCCTAGGTATAGATTTGAAAAAAAGAAAAGTCCACAACGTTAGGAAAGTTTGAGCCCTGATTATGCTTGTGCATATTGGATACTTTGAGAGTTAGAAGAGTGATCCATCCTGAGAATGCAGTCTCTGACCTATTTGTTGAAGTGTATTGCTCTGTGTCAGCCAGGTGGAGTGAAGAACAGACTAGGAAGAGAGCTCTCCAATGTGAAGTGGGCTAATGCCTGAGACCAACCAGCCCTCCAACTCATCAATCCTGGCCCTGTCTTCCTCTGTTTCTTTATTATCAAATGAGACTCTTAGAGACACAGAGCTATTAAAGAGTTTCACAATCTCGCCCGGCCAGGTGTGGCTCAGCGGTTGAGCATCTACTTAGGATCCAGGCCATCGGGGTTCAATTCCCAGTCGGGTCACATGCCCGGATTGCGGGCTGCAGCTGATCAATGATTCACCATTGATGTTTCTATCTCTCTCTCTCCCTCTCCTTTCTTCTCTCTGAAATCAATAAAGATATATTTAAAAAAAAAAAAAAAAAGAGTTTCACAATCTCTTACTCTATTCCATTTGTCACCCACATTGGTTCCTTCTGCTGAGCAGCCCAGTATCCCTAAGATTCAGCTCTCACTTAGGCCTAAGAGTAGACATACTGAGGAGGTTTTCACACAAGCTGTAGCCAAGTGCATAGTCCCATCAGAGGCACCTGCTTCCACAGTGTGTTCTAATAATCTCTTTGTACACTTCTTGGGTTGAAATAGTGAGCTCTAGTGATGCCATCATTACTCCCAGTTTTATATAAGGCAGTTTGATGGTAACATCCAATCACAACTCTTACAGCATTAAGGGTAATGAGAGGCAGGATAAAGAGAGAGAACAAGTCCACACAACCTATAAACAAAGAGACCTTGAGCCACAAGTTATCAAGTTTCCACTTTACTTAAGTACAAATTATCTTCTAAAAGTGGATATTGGGTGGATTGGCTTAATACTCAGATTTTTTAAATTATTTTTTGCAAATATACAATGTATGCAAAAGTAACTGCCTTTGAATAAATATTCAAGAATCATTTCTGAGTAAAAAGTACCCAAAAGAACATGAAAACCAGGACTCTAGCTGTTTTTATTAACCCATTAACAGGTATGTATTGAGTAATGATGGAAAAGAAAGCATTTTAGCTTGGTTTGCAAATTGCTTTAGATTACCCATGTAACAATTGAGTTCTGAAATTTTGCAGGAAAGATATATATATATATATATATTTTAATTTTATTATTGTTTAAAATATTACAGATGTCCCTTTTTCTCCCCAATGACCTGCTCCACCCCATTCCTTCCCCCTCCCCAGTCCCTCTCCCTACCATTGTCCATGTCCTTGGGTTGTGTATATATGCATATAAATTCTTTGGTTATTCTCTACCCTCCACCTACCCGCCCTCCTCCATCCCTTTGACATTCATCAGTCTCATCTATGCTTCCATGTCATTGAATCTATTCTGCTCATCAGTTTATTAAGTTCTTTAGATTCCACGTATAAGTGAGATCATGTGATATTTGTCTTTTGCTGCCTGGCTTATTTCACTTAGCATAATATTCTCCAGGTCCAGCCATACTGTCCCAAAGGGTACGAGATTATTCTTCTTTACAGCTGCATAGTATTCCATGGTGTAAATGTCTCACAGTTTTTTATCCACTCATCTACTGATGGGCACTTGGGCTGTTTCCAGATCTTGGCTATTGTAAAATGTGCTGCTATGAACATCGGGGTACATATATCCTTTCTGATGAATGTTTCAGGATTCTTAAGATACATTCCTGGAGTGGAATCACTGGGTCAAACGGCAGCTCCATTTTTAATTTTTTGAGGAACCTCCATACTGTTTTCCATAGTGGTTGCACCAGTCTGCATTCCCACCAGCAGTATAGGAGACCTTAGAGTTGCTTCTTAATGCCATGCTCAGGTTTCTCCCTAATAAATAGAATTTCCAGGAAATTTCCAGATAATAAGACAGATCAGAAGAAATGGAGATACAGCAGTTGAACACTATATTTTGTTAAATGAAAACACATTATAATTACAACAGTAAACATTTGTTGACTGTCATTCTACTCCCTTAGGGTCTGCTTTAATAAACACTTTTTTTTTGCAAATTTGAATATAAAAAGGCATTGTTTACATAAGTAGTTACAAAAGGACTCTAATATTACAGTAATTTTTTTATTTCCATTTCTCTGGAAAGTACACCTCATCCCCACTAGCATTTTCCACTCTAGTACTGGGAAAAGACATTAGGTTGCTAGAAGCTTGTTTTCATCAATAATACCCTAATAAATCTCAGTGCTGCTGTCTTCATAGAGTGTAGCTGAAGAAATAACTGTAATAAGTCCTGTTTGTGTTGGAATGTATCTATTTCAATGCTTGGTTTGCTTGTCTCACATTTTTCTTCTTCCTACAGATTTTTAAAAATGTTGGCTCTTATGAGACTGTCCAGGGGCAAAGAAGTCGGAGGCTGATCAGCTTTTCTCTTTCAGGTATGTTTTGCTTACATGAAGGCCTTGTGGAAAGAACAAAAATGTCAACCATCAGGAGATGCACTTTAATTTGACTCTTACCTAAAAGTTATTCCACATTTTTGTGCTTCAATTTCTCCATCTGTAAAACAAAAATTAAAAACATCTGCTTCCTCCTCCTGACCTAATGAGGATATGGAGGATTCAATAAGCAATAGATGCAACAGCACTTTGAGATAAGAGAAACTGCTATTCTACTTTCCTCCATTGCCAAATAGCAGTGATTGAGAGCTTTTTGGTTTTTAAAAAATATATCTTTATTGATTTCAGAGAGAAGAAAGGAGAGGGAGAGAGATAGCAACGTCAATGATGAGAGAGTCATTGATCGGCTGCCTCCTGTACTCCCCCGACTGGGGATCGAGCCTGCAACTGAGGCATGTGCCCTGATCGGGAATTGAACCCTGATTGCCTGGATCCTAGGTTGATGCTCAACTGTTGAGCCATGCCCGACCTGGCGAGTTTTTTAATAAAGTGGAGGTAAGGGAAAGCCTGGGGAGAGAAGGAGCTAACAGACCCTTTGACTAAATAAAAATTTCAATTAAGCCCAATTGAGCTGCTCATAGAAGTACATTCATGGAAAAAACAGTGTAAGCTATGTAAAGTCTTTAATTTAGTTAAGAGTATTTAGTTAAGAGTAATTTATTTAATTTTTTTCATTTTAATAATGTACTATAGTTCTGTAATATGTTAACAATGGGGAACTGGGTAAAGGATATTGTTCTACTTTTGCGACTTTCTGTAAATCTAAAATAATCTCAAGATTAAAAGTACAAATAAAAACTGAAGAAATAACTGTAATAAAGCATGATTGTGTTGGAATGTATCTATTCCAATGCTTGTCTCTCATTTTTCTTCTTTCTACAGATTTTTAAAAGTGTTGGCTCTTGTAAGACTGTTGGCTCTTATGAAACTGTCATACTCTCTAACCACTAGCCAGTTTGGCTCAGTGGTTAGAGTGTCTGCCTGTGGACTGAAGGGTCCCAGGTTCGATTTTGGCCAAGGTCACGTACCTCAGTTGCAGGCTCATCCAATCGATGTGTCTCTCTTATTGACGTTTCTCTCTCTCCCTTCCATTATCTCTGAAAAAGCAATGGAAAAAATATCCTCTAGGAGAATTTAAAAAAAGAAAGAAAAGAAAAAAAAACCTGAGATGCTCTGGTTAAAATGCTCTACAAAGCTCAGAGCCCCACACACTCAATTTCACCTTAAGTGGTCTTTGTGGATATGCATACAGTGGCATGAAACTCTAGAATTCTGGTGCGTAGTTTGAGAAACTATTGCCTTAACTTGTTGTCAAACTAACAAACGTTGCAGGTCATAAATGTCAGAGATCTGAGATCACACTCATGCACTGTCCTTGGGAGATAGGCAGTCAGTTGGAGCTATTCATGTTTAAGTGAGCCCCCGTAAAGGAAATGTGTCTCTAAAGATTTATTGATAAGCAGTTAAAGAAAAGTTGCAGGATACAAGGTTAATAAACAAAAAGTCAATCATTTTTATATACACCAACAATGAACAAGTGGAATTTGAAATTAAAAACACAATACCATTTATATTAACACCCCCAAAATGAAATACTTAAGTATACATCTAAAAAATATGTACAAGATCCATATAAAGAAAAACTACAAAACTCTGATGCATGAAATCAAAGAACTAAATAAATGGAGAGGTATTTCATGTTTACAGATAGGGAGATAGAGTATTGTAAAGATGTCAGTTCTTCACAACTTAGTGTATAGAATCAATGCAATTCCAGTCAAAACCACAGCATGCCATTTTTTGGATATTGAAAACATGATTCTAAAATTTATATGAAAAGGCAAAAGATCCAGAATAGCCAGCACAATATTGAAAGAGATCAAAGTTGGAGGACTGACACTACCTAGCTTCAAAACTTAAGACAATGTGATATTGGTGAAAGAATAGAAAAATAGAACAATGGAACAAAATAGTGAATACAGAAATAGACATCCTGTAGTCAACTGATCTTTGACAAATGAGCAAAGGCAATATAATGGAACAAAAATAGTCTCTTCAACAAATGGTGCTGGAACAACTGGACATGCACATGCAAAAAAAAAAAAAAAATTATAGACACAGACCTTATACCCTACACACAAAAAATTACTCAAAATGGATCATAGACTTTTAAATGAAAAATGCAAAACTGTAAAACTCCTAGAACATAACAGTAGAAAGTCTAGATGACCTTGGGTAGAATGATGCCTTTTTAATTTTTTTTTAATTTTTATATTTTTAATCTTCACCCGAAGACAGGTTTATTGATTTTAGAGATATGAAGGGGGAGAGAGAGAGATCAATGTGAGAAAAATTGATTGGTTGCCTCCCATCATGCCCTGACTGGGGATGGAACCTACAGCCTAGGTATGTGACCTGATCAAGAACCAAACCCACAACCTTTATAGGAGGAGATTTCAACCAACTGAGCATCTAGCCAGAGCCAGTGATGCCTTTTTAGTTGCAACACCAAATATATGATACATTAAAGAAATAATTGATATATGAAAGAAATAATATGAACTTCATTAAAATTAAAAATTTTTGCTGAGAATGAGAAGATACACCACAGTCTGGGAGAAGATATTAGCAAAAGACACATTTAATAAAGGACAGTTATCCAGGCAGAAGGCACCCCCTCTGCTCCCCACCCCCCAGAGCAGGGCAGGGCCCATCTACCATGGCCACTGAGGTGATGGCAGTACATGAACACAAGGTAGCAGCAATGGCCCATCTAAAGCAGCAGGTGGCCAACCTCCAAAACTTTGTGGACAGAGCTGGAGTTCCCATAGAATAAGCCAACCTGCCCCTGCCAATGGGGCTGAGCTGGAGGAGAGTAACGAAAGCAGGAAAAGGTTGGATGCATGACCATCATCAGAGAAGACATGTCCATCTTCTGGTACTTCCCTGCCTTTGAAACTTTTATTTTTTGTTGTGCGTAATCTCTACAGTCAAGTGGTGAAGCCTCAAGCTTTCCGAAAGCACTGTGAAAGATGTGGGCCCCTCAGCAAGCTTCATGCCGAGGCCCTCTGATCCAGCTCCTGCCAGTTCCTGCCAGTTCTCAGCAATGCCATGTAGTGAATGGGCAAAGCCAAGGTGGTAGAGCCCCAGGTTCCACTAAAACCTCCTTCAGGGAGAAAGGCCAGGGGTCCTGGAGCCATGGCCAATAGCCTCCTGAGAAGACTCAGAGGACAACCTCTGCCTTTTCGTGCTTGTGGTGAATCTGGAGATGTCCAGTCTCCTGAACCCCATTGGACACAGAATCGGGGTGGTCCTGTCCTCTGCTTTCCTCAGCCAGCCGTGCAGCCTTACTAAGGACTCCCCTGGAAAATCTCCTATGGTGCTCCTTTCTAAAGACCTCCCTGGCCTTTAGAGTGAGCATCAAAATAACCCCCAGTCATTGGGCTGAAGGTAGTCTCCTGAAAAGGAGCTTGGTGGGGCTAGGCCGCCCCCCTCCCCAAGTCCACCAAAAATAGCTCCAGAAGAAGAGCAACCTCAACAGGCAGTGTGTGGTAATAAATCCAGGGACCAAAAAGATCTGTACCCACCTGCTAACCTGCAAGATTCATTCAGTGCACCAGCACCCAGAGGTCCAGGAGTGGGCTAAGGATTTTAATATGCTAGTGGCAGAGATGAAGGCCACCTCTGGAAAAGAGGAGTTTCCCAAGGAGAAGAGCCCAGGGTACAAGAAGACAGCTCTGGAGTACCCATTCCAGGAGCACTCCTCCTCAGCCTAGGTTGTGGCAGTGGTAACTGCTCCCAGCAGCACTTTATCTGCTCATATCAAGCAGATCTACCCATACTGTGTGCTTCCCAGGTCCAGGGCCTCCTCTGTGAGTGAGTTTAAAGAGGAAGGCCTCTGTGGTGGTGATAGGGACCCAGGTCCCTTCACCTTTCCCATGCCCAAGGTGGGACCCAGGCCTCCAGTGAAGATAATGAAGAGCAGGGGACATCTGATGACCTTCACCTCCATTATGCAACCTGACTCTCCAGACCACAGGCATTCTTCACCTTTGGGAACTGGTTGGTGAGTCCAAGGTGCTATGTGTTTAGCCGCAGGCTGGACCAGTTCTGCTGGGCACTAAGCTCCATGCTGGAAAGGCATTTTAGCTTACATATGTGGAAGAAGATCCCTCTGGTGGCTGAGCCTTCATCTCACCTTGTCAACTACTCCTTATCTTCTCCCTTGAGCCCATCCTCTACCAGCAGCTTCCCCTGCACCCCAGATCTGCCTGCCTAGCTTCCACCCTGCCCCTCCAAGGGCAGCCTTGTCTCCAGCTACCCTGCAGGCTCCCCAACTGGGCAAGAACCAGGCCATCACCTCACCACTGTCTGCCAACATGCCCCTCCTTCAGCAAGCTCCCACCTTCAGAGGCCAGCAAGTCATTCAAAGGCAAGGATGGGTGAGGTGGAGGCCCCTTCTCAAAAACAAGTTATCTCTTGGCCCCGACTTTCAAGCAGACCTGCATCCTGGAGCTCATTGGAGCCCACTGGCTTCCTGAGCCTCTCTGCCAAGAATAAAACAGCCCTGGACATGGGGCTTAATGGAATGGTGGGGTCAAGGGTGGTGCATGATGCAAGCAGGGCCCCTGGACTATCAGTGTTCCCTTCATCAGCCCTCCATACCAGTCAAGGCTTCTTAGCTGGACACCCACCCAAGGTCCTGCCAACCAACTGCCTCTCTGAGGAGGAGGTAGCCAAGAAGCTGAAAAATCTGACCATTTACTGGTGGCCAGTGAAGGCCAAACACTGACAGGCTGGCTCTTCTGCTTATGTGTACTGCTCTGTGAGCTGTAAGAAGCCAGGCCCAACATTGGCTTTTGAGGCAAAGTGTTCTGCACTGAAGTCAAAACCCCACTAAAGAGAAAGTGTTTGCCCACTGCAATGGGGCCACCAGCACCTCCTCTCCTCCAGATCTGGGCCACAGGCTGCTGCCACTT